TTTTTCTTTTCCTCTTTTCCTCTATTTTCCCTGTTCCTCTTTTCCTCTTTTCCTCTGTTTTCCCTGTTCCTTTTTTCATCCTCTTCCTCTATTTTCTCTATTCCTCTTTTCCTCCTCTTCCTCTATTTTCCCTGTTCCCTTTTTCTCTCTTTTCCCTGTTCCTCTTTTCCTCCTCTTCCTTTATTTTCCCCCCAATTTCTCCTCTTTTCCCTGTTTTCCTGCCTTTTCCCCATTTTCCCCTTTTCCCGGTTTTCCCAGGTGACCTGCTGATCCTGCTGGCCCAGGCCATTGTGTCCATCCAGATGGTGCTGGAGGAGAAATTCATCTTCAGCCACGACGTCCACCCGCTGCGCGCCGTGGGCACCGAAGGTGCGCCATTCCCGGGATTCCTGGAATTCCCACCATTCCCAAACCCTGGGAATAATGGGAATTACCGGGACAGGAATTACGGGAGCGGGAATTACGGGAATGGGAATTATGGGAGCGGCAATTACGGGGCAGGAATTACGGGGATGGGAAATACGGGGATGGGAATTACGGGGCGGGAATTATGGGGCGGGAATTACGGGAACGGGAATTACGGGGTGGGAATTACAGGAGCGGGAATTACGGGGCGGGAATTACAGGAACGGGAATTACAGGAGCAGGAATTATGGGAGCGGGAATTATGGGGGCAGGAATTATGGGGCAGGAATTACAGGGGCAGGAATTACAGGAATGGGAATTACAGGGGTGGGAATCACAAGAATGGGAATTACGGGAACGGGAATAACAGGGACGGGAATTATGGGAACGGGAATTACGGGGATGGAAATTACAGGGATGGGAATTACGGGGGCGGGAATTACGGGACAGGAATTATGGGAACGGGAATTACGGGAACGGGAATTATGGAAAGGGAATTGCAGGAATTACGAGGGTGGGAATTACAGGAACAGGAATTATGGGGCGGGACTTATGGGAATGGGAATTACGGGGCGGGAATTACGGGGCGGGAATTGTGGGGGCGGGAATTACGGGAACAGGAATTATTGGGTGGGAATTATGGGGGCGGGAATTATGGGAACGGGAATTGTGGGAACGGGAATTCCGGGGGCAGGAATTACGGGGGAAGGAATTACCGGAACGGGATTTACGGGAACGGGAAATACGGGGCGGGAATTACAAGAATGGGAATTATGGAGTGGGAATTATGGTGTGGGAATTATGGGGCAGGAATTACTGGGGTGGGAATTACGGGAATGGGAATTACAGGAACGGGAATTACGGGGACGGGAATTACAGGAGTGGGAATTACGGGAACGGGAATTACAGAATGGGAATTACAGAACGGGAATTAAGGAACAGGAATTAAGGAACGGGAATTACAGAACGGGAAGTGTTGATCCATGCAGAACACATCCCGTTTTTCCCCTCCAGGTCTGTTCGGTTTCACCATCCTGGCGCTGCTGCTGGTGCCGCTGTCGTTCATCCCCGCGGGGCAGCTGAGCGGGAACCCGCGTGGGCTCCTGGAGGATCCGTCCGACGCCCTGTGCCAGCTGCGGCAGCGCCCGCTGATCCTGGCGGCTCTGCTGGCCAACGTGGGCAGCATCTCCTTCTTCAACTTCTCGGGGGTCAGCGTGACCAAGGAGCTGAGCGCCACGACGCGCACGGTGCTGGACAGCCTGCGGACGCTGCTGGTGTGGGCGGTCAGCCTGGCGCTGCGCTGGGAGCGCTTCCACGCCCTGCAGCTGCCGGGATTCGCGCTGCTGCTGGCCGGAGCCGCGCTCTACAACGGGCTGCACCGCGCCCTGCTGCC